ATGACATGTTGAACAAATGAATGAAACTCATGAAACTTTTTGTTTGTTTTTTTGTTTTGAAACAGGGTCTCATTTTGTCACCCAGGCTGGAATACAGTGGCCTCATCACAGCTCATTGCAACCTCAAACTCCTGGGCTCAAGTGATCCTCCTGCCTCAGCCTCCTGAGTAGCCGGGACTACAGGTTCGCATCACCACACCAGGCTAATTTTTCTATTTTTCTGTAAAAAAAGGGTCTTGCTCAGGCTGGTCTTGAACTCCTGGCCTCAAGCAATTCTCCCACCTTGACCTCCCAAAGTGCTCAGATTACAGGCATGAGCCACCACACCCAGCCACCATGCCTGGCCCCTATGAAACTTTTAAGGTAGGTCAAGAGGTTGAGGAGAAATTATCTGGGTGGGGAATTTAATTTTTTTTAATCTCCAGGCCCAATGCCTTGTGCATGTACTTATTTATTTACAGAAATGAGTGAAATTCACATGACATGAAATAATGACTCAGTGGCATTTAGCACCTTGACAATGTTGTGCAGCCACCATATCTATCTAGTTCCGAAACACTTCATCACCCAGAAAGGAACCCGCCCCACCCCAGCCCATGCCCATGAAGCAAGCATGAGTTTTAAGCTTCTGAAAGGCAGGGACTATGTTCATCTTGTTCACTTTGTACCCCTAGTGCTTAGACAAATACTCAACCAGTATTTGTAAAGTAACTTCCCATTCCCACACTTACCTTCATGGGTCTTTCAGTTGCCCAAGGATTTTTTATTTTCTTAATCATGTTATTTGTAAAGTATTTACATATCATTAAAAATGTATTATTTTTTAGTGTTGTATAATATATACAACATTAAATTTACTATCTTAACTATGTTTTACATGTATATTTTTTATTTCAGAGTATTACAGGGGTACAAATGTTTTGGTTCCATAAATTGCTTTAGTACCGTTTGAGACAAAGTTATAAGTGTGTCCATCACCCAGATAGTGTGCATTATACATACCTGTTAGGTGTGAATTTACCCCTCCCCCCTCCCCTCTCCCACCTGCTGGATTTCCGATGAATGTTGTTTCCACGTGTGCACATAACTCTTGATCAATTAGTTCTAATTTAATGCTGAGTACATGTGGTGTTTGTTTTTCCATTCTTGTGATACTTCACTTTAGAAGAATGGTCTTCATTTCCATCCAGGTTAATACAAGAGGTGTTAGTTCACATTTTTTATGGCTGAGTAGTACTCCATGGTATACATATACCACATTTTCTTAATATCCTAACCACTTTTAAGTGTATGGCTCAATGGTATTGAATATATTCCAATGTTATGAAACCATCACCACTATCTACCTCCACAACTCTTTTCATCTTGCACAACTGAAACTCTGTACCCATTAAACAATAACTCCCCATTTTCCCGTCCCCTCAGCCCCTGGCAACCACTGTTCTACTTTCTGTCTGTATTATTTTGACTGCTTGAACTACCTCTTATAAGTAACCCAAGGACTTTGCATCTGGTTTTTGTGTTCCTGGAATCCCAGCCTCAGTGGCAGGTTGACTGATGGGTGGCTGCTTGGCAGTGTGGGGGGTATGGCTCACAGGTGAGAGCTTTGACGAGGGTCTCAGCAGTGCCTGAAGGCCTCTGGGTCACCTTCTGCAAGGAGCTGCCTCTCTGCCTCATCTCACAGAGGGAGTTAGGACCCATGGCGGGGGGATGGTCACACTGAGCTGTGGCTCTCAGCGCTGACTTCTGCAGGTCCTGAGTGATGATTAACTCTCCTACTTCATTTGCTCTCATCCTGGACTCTGAGTTTTCAGGAAACCAAGGTGTTTGGCAGAAGATGGTGCCTGGAACACTGCTGACTTTTGCCTGCACGTGTTATAATTAACGACTCATTGAAATGCCTCACACCTTCAGGCAGCCGGGGCCAAGTGCCAAACTGGGGGTGAGGTGGGGGCAGGCACAGCGGGAGGCTGGCCTGGGAGTAGCCTGGGAATCTGGACTAACACTTCACTTCTCCTTGTTCTGCTCCTCGTGTTCCTCCTCTCTGCACTAGTGGTTAAAATACAGCCTTTGGTACACAGGGTTGACTGGCAGCTTGGCCATTTACCAGCCGAGGGAACTAGGCCTGGTTACTTAACCCTTTTGAGTCTCAGTGTTGTCATCCATAAAATGGGGATAGCAATAGGTCATTGTGAAGGCTGAAGTTGTACCACTTGATGCTAACGACGCATTTCTCAAAATGTATCTCCATCACTAGACGTGACTGTACACTGACCAGTGGCTTGCCTTCCTGGACTTTCCACACCTGGACTTGCAATGAGGAAAAGGAAAAGGAGAGAAAACCATAGCAGCCCTCTTGGTCCCTGGCCTTTGCTGGTGTCTCACTGTCAATGTGGCCCCTTCACACCTGTCATCTGAGAGAATAATTGCTGTCTACGCCGTATTAGAGATGTTCAAAGGGAGAGTCACAGATGTCAAGTGAGCTGTCCATGGTCTGCTGCTTGTTGGTGGCTGAGCTGAGATTCAAACTAGCCCTGTGGGTCCCCTCTTCAGCTCCCACTTCCCCAAACTCTAGGCTGTTGATTTCATCGTGTGACAAGAGTTTAGGAGCTGGCCATTCCACCATGGGGTCACTTGCCAAGAAAAACAGTTTAGCCAGTGAGAGGTGGGCAGTGCACATTTGGGGCTCACTGGGGAGGAGCTCCTGGGCTGGCAGGAGAGGTGGGACTCCTGCGGGACCTGGACAGATAAGGAGTGTGGAAGGAGGCCAAGGAGACAGGGCATCACTTAGTGATGATTCATCACCCTCCAAAATGTTGGATATTTCCTGCCATTTGTAGACATCAGATTAGTGACTGCAGAGTCGTTTGAATATTTCTTCTTCTCTGACAGTCAGGTATGGCTGTGACTCTGTGGGCATCTGGCTTTTTAAACTTAGGACCTTAATCTGACAACAGACTATTTATTTTTATTTGTAGCTCCAGCTGGTCCCTCCCTGAATATTGTAAACCCCTACTCCCATGCCTGCGCTTTCCTGGAATGTTCCTCACTCGCACCTTACCTGGCCCATTCCTCCTTTTCTTTCAGGGCTCTGCTCAAACCAGAGCTTTCCCAGACCTTCCTCTAACCTCCTCTCATCTCCAGGTCAAATTCCTTGCCAGACATTTGGAGCACTAGTACTTCCCCTTCAAAACACCTATCACAATGGTAATTTTTTTTTTTTTTTGAGACAGTCTCACTCTTTTGCCCGGGCTAGAGTGAGTGCCGTGGTGTCAGCCTAGCTCACAGCAACCTCAAAGTCCTGGGCTCAGGCGATCCTCCTGCCTCAGCCTCCCAATGGTAATTTTATAAGCAGTTGTCTCATCTTTGATGTTCATCTGTCTCTGCCACTGGGCAGGAAGCCCTGTGAGCCATGTGAGTCTTGTTCAGAGCTGTACACGCAGGATGAACACATGTGACCTGGCACATAGAAGCTGCTCTTTCGTGGCAAGAATGAATGAATGAATGAATTTTCTGGCCTCTCCCTGGCCACCATCCTTTTCTCTCTTTGCCCATTTATGTTCTGCTTTCCTAAAAAGATCAAAGGGTGGCCCTGTCCCTCCTTTGAAGTCCTTTAGCACTTCTAGTTCTCTCTTCTGCTCACTTTTTGGGTTTGTTCATTTCCACAAACTTCATTTTCCATACCTTGTACTTTTGGAACTTGGCACAGGCTGGCTGCCTGCAGCTGTGGGTTCAGGGTTGAATTTTTGTTGTGAGTCAGCTCATATCCAGACTAGACCACAAGTTCCCCAAAGGCAGGGCCTCTGCCTGGCACAGAGCCAAGCGAAAAAGTTCTGCTGCTTGCAGGTATGAATGAACATGGACAAAAGGTCAGTTGCTCCAAGCTGCAACTGATGGCAGAGCTCTAAGTCTTGGGAGGCATCTACGACAGGGAGCCCCTGCTTCCAGGTTGCCCAGAAGAGGAGTTCCTGCTCCCTCTGGGCAGACATTAGGCTGGACCCTGAATGTAGCCTTATGCAGTTCACATTCCTGGGGGATGTGTGGGGCACATGGGGAAGACCTGCATGGATGCTGCCCAAGTAACGATTCTCTGACAGCAGCCTCAGTGGGAAGAACAGGTGCTGATAAGGGAGGAGGGGAAGCAGCTCTCTGAGGCAGCAAAGTGCAAATTGTTAGGTTGCTTGAATTTGGGCAGTGGATGGTTGTCTAGCAGTGGGCAAGGAGGGCCTGAGGCAGAACAGAGTCCTGGCAGGGTTTGTGGGGTTCTTCCCCTTCCCTGCACCTCCTCATCAGAGCAGGGCTTCCCTCTTCCAGAGCAGCCACTTTTGGCTGCTCTGTGGCCTCCAGGGCCAGCCTGGGGACGGCCACAGTGCTTCTGGAGGCAGCAGGCTGTACAGGGGAGTCAGGAATGTGGGTGAGTGGGTAGCCATCCCTGTGGCCGGGAGATTAGAATTGTGCTGAATTTTTTTCCAGCAACACCCAGCAACTTTCTGTCCTTTCAAGAATGTTCTGTGCAGAGACCAAGAACTTGGCTGACTCTTCAGAGAATTGCTGCACCTGTTTTACACAAAGGGCCTGGGACTGGTCCAAGGGCAAGTGGCAGGTGACCTGCAGCCTTTAGGCTCCTGGCCTGAGGTGGATTGTTCCTTCGATGGAGCCACTCCCACTCTGCCCCGTGGCCCCATGGCAGGTAGGCGTGGCGGCCCGGCCACAGTGGGCCTTTGTGCCAGGCGGGCACCACCCCCTGGCCTGCCCCTCCCCGCTCCCAGGACAGCCCTTACCTGCCGACAGCGCTTCTCCAACGCCGACAGTTCTGCGAGCTCCTCATTCAGCGCTGCACGCGGGGAGCTGCTCCCAGACGGTGCCGCGCAGCGCACGAGCCCGGCGCTACTGCCCTGAGGCCCCGACGTCGCCGGTCCCCTACCGGGCTGACCATTAACCAGGAGGCCGTATAAGGAACGAGTGACCTGGGCGTGCAGGAGGGACGCGTCGCCGCAGCCATGGACAGCAGCACCTGGAGCCCCACGGCCACCGCGACCACCGCGCCCCTCGCGTCCCACGAGCGCATCCGCAATGCTGCCGACATCTCTGTCATCGTCATCTACTTCGTGGTGGTGATGGCCGTCGGGCTGTGGGTATGTGGGGGGGTCCTGGGATGTGGGGCTGAGGGGTCCAGGGCCACCGGGAGGGAAGAGGGGGGCCACAGAGGAGCGACGGCACAGCCTTCTCTGTGCTGCGAGGGGGCGTGTAGGCTTTGGAGTCTGCGGGCAGGAGGAGTGGAAAAGACTTGGAAGCGCTTGAGAGGAGTTCGCGGCACAGTGTGAGGTGAGCGGGCAAGTGAGGATGAGCAGAAGTGAGAAGGGTGCCCAGGGGAGCCTTCCAGCAAGGGCTGAGGAGGATGCGGGCCTGAGAGCAGAGAAGGAAGGTAGGGGACTGGAGGGAGTGGCGGAGAGTGTTAAGACAGGCGGGGAAGGGGCAGCCTGGAGCGGCAGGGAGAGCCTCAGGGCTTGGGAGATGAGCCCCAAGGAGGTGACTAGTGTCCTACCTGTTAGTCATCCAGTTTCGGATAAGAGAAATCGTGTAGAGCGGGAAAGCCACAGCCTCTGCCAGCCCCAGGTTCTGTGGGACAATCCATGGGGCAGGTGCTCACTGATGTCCCTGTCCTGGGAAGGGCTAACCCCAAGCCCTTGAGCCTGCAGAGCCCAGGGGCTGGAGCAAATTAGAGATGGGGAAGATGGGTGGAGAAGGAGGAGGAGGAGGAGGAGGAGGAAGACGTGGGGTGACCTGGCACTAGGGAGAGGGAAGTGTGTCTCTCTCCTTTGGGACTCTGGGGACACACCAAACCAGAGAAACTTGTTCTGGGCAGCCTGAAACTTGGAAATTTCACTTGTGACAGACTCTGGCACACCCAACAACTAGAGGAGGAAGGTTTTGGTTTTTGTTTTTCCCTTGGTCCAGGCTGTATGTAGTGCAATGCTATGATCATAGCTGTCTGCAGCCTGGAACTCCTGGGCTCGAGGGATCCCAGGAGGAGGTGTTTTGAAAGTGTACAGATATTCCAGCCACTCTCAGGGATTGTCATGGAGCGGGGGATCGGGTGACAGAACCAGGAGATTGCCATGCTAGCAGGCGGTTGTGTTGAACTCTTTTGACTTAGAGGAGATTAGGATGGGTATTAACCCTTCTGTGGACACAGAGCCTTTTTTTTAAAAAAAGTAAGAGAAATGTTGATTTTTTTTAAAAAAAAGAATTGTAGAAACCAGAAGTAACAGAAAGCCTCTTTGAGTGTCACATGGGGTCAATGTGGCTGACTTTTCCTCAATACTCTCAGCTTCCCAGACATAGTGGAGTATCCACCCAGGAGCCAGGATACTCAAGTTTACTGTTGGCTTTCACGTGGTTTGAGCCGTGCGATGTTGTTTGAGCCATGTCAGCCTCATTTTACTAAGTGTAAAATAGCTACAGTCTTATCTATTCTCCTCAAGGTGGTTGTGAGGATCTACAGCTCTAGGATTTTTTTTTTTAATAATGTTGTCATGTGCCTTCCAGGTTATAATCCAGGCCCTAAACAATTTTTGTCCTTTTCAGTAAAATGGGCAAAAATGGGCAGTGTATCTTCACAAAAGCGACAAGACAGGGAGGGCAGGAATGCTAATCCCCATTTTACAGAAGTGGCAATTGAAGCCTCACGTGGCTATGATTTGCCTAAGATTGCAGCAGACGGAATTGTTTCTGGAACTCAGGTCTCTTGAATCCTGGATTTTCCAAGGTCCCGGGCACTGTGCCACTGTGCCTGTCTTCCTCTTCCCGCCCCACCCCAGCATGTAAGTGCTGGAGCCAAGATGTGAGGCCATCACTTGCTAGCCATACTATACTGCCTGCTTCCTGCACGGTCACTGATAATCTCAGTTCTCTGAACCAATCTCATGTTAGCCTTGCCAGTCCTGTCGGTGTTTATACTTTTTTTTTTTTTAATGGTGTTTACACTTTTTAAGTATCTGTGAATCAGTATCATTTGTCTTGTTAAATGCTACTTAATGAGCCTGATAGTATTTGTCTACGTTTAATCTTCCCCCATTAGTCAGTGCCTGTGGACCTGGCTTATTTAACCTGCTGGATTTCATCCAGTTTGTTCTCCCCTTTTTGCTATTGAAGGGTCAAGAGTGGCTTGATTCAGGGGTGGACATTCTGACTCCTGTGTGATCTCTGGGCTGCACAGATAGAACAGCCCAGGCCCATTGTGCTTCCTCAACTTAGAAAAGACCCCCACCCCTCCCGGCCAATGTCCCTCTGTCCCCATCTCCATCTCTTCCAACATTATTTTGGTTCTGATTTACCCTCTTCTGACTCTGCCTCTTCCAGTCACATTTGGACTCTGGCTTGTTACTTCTTCAGTGTTGATTTTCATTTTACTTTCACTATCCCCCAACTTGTTCACTGAGGGAGTGAATGTCCGAACTTATTCTTGCTGGAAGATTTCATTAAATCTATCCTGCACCCCCCTCAAGCCAGGGTTTGTTCAACTAGGGCCCACGGGCCAAATCTGACTCAGAGCTTATTTTTATATGGCCCACAAGCTAAGAATGTTTTTTCCACTTTGAAAAGGTTGTGAAAACAAAATAGAACACAACAAAATACAAGGAGTTTGCAGCAGAGGCCTTATGTAGCCCATGAAGCCTGAAGTATTTCCCATCAGGCTCTTTTTCTTTACAGAAAACGTCTACTGACCCCTGTCTTATGCAGTCATTTGAACTGATAAAAATCATTTATTGCCTGAGTTGGAATGGCCCTTGGGGGAGCCCAAACCTTTCTGGTTTACAGATGAGGGTTGGAGAGGGTAACCTGAAATCATCAGATGAGTTAGTACCAGAGCTGGGACTAGAACCTAAGTTGTATGATGCTGAAGCCAATGCTCTTTTCACTATTCTACCTTTCTTCCTCCCCAACACACTATCCTTTCTGGGGATACTCTCTCCATGGTCCTTAACCACTGCATCGCTGTGACAGTGTCCTGGTGGTGCTGAATGCCTTCTTTCCTCATGCATTTTCATGAATCGAGAGCCTAAAGTTTATTGACTTCCACCCTTTTCATCCTATGCTGAAGTCTCTTCTTTAGATCATTTGACAAAATCATCTTGACAAGTTGGCAACAGTCTTCACTTGAATAGTTCCAGCAGAAACTCTCTCAAGTGGCACCATTTCCATCTCTGGACAGCTCTGGCGGAGGGGAAGTTCTTCCTGGTAGCTGGCTCAGACCTGGCATCCTGGAGCTTCTCCCGTTTATCTGGTCGTGCCTATGCAGGCCACGCTGAGTGAGTCTGCCCTACTTTGCACATCGGAAGACAATAGGCCACACTCGAATCTTCTCTTCTCCAGGCCCAAAGTCACATTTCTTAAGCTGTTCCGCATCCAAACACAGGTCTGAAGTTCTTTACTTTTGCTCAATGATATTTCTATTCTACTGGGGAGGGGGGAACCCCATAAACCCAAAACCAAAACATTGTGGGTCAGTAATTGTGTTTCTTTTGCCCCATGCAGCTAGCAATTGTAAATTCATTCTTTTCTAGTTGTAGGGTGGACAGGCAAATTTAATGTCATGGTTTATAAAGTGGAACCTTGGAGTTTTCCTTTGAGCATTTCTTGCTTGCAGGACAATGTCTTTCTAGGCACAAAGCATGATCTTAAGCATTATGGGAATTAAAAATTTATAATAAGGGGACACAAAGTCAAAAAAATTTGTAAGGGTGTGAGCAAGGTATAGATGGAGTCCTCTAGGTGTTCAGAGGAGGGAGAGATTATTTTTGTTGGGGAGGAGGAGGCCGTAGGGAAGGAGGAGGTTTCTGTGGGGGGAGTGTCAGGTGACGGTTCGTGGGGAAGGTACAGTTTGACCAGCCTTGGAGGATGGGTGGGTAAGGTCTGGGCTTGCAGAGATGAGGGGAAAAACATTCTAGAGAGGAAAAGTCCCAGTGTGGACACATCTCTCTTCACCCTTTGTCTATCTCCAACATCTTTCCTGAATGATTCCAGCTCCTGACTCTAGTCTCTGCCCTAGTATTTCTCTAAGTTCTTCATTCTTGAGACCAACTAGGACATGTTTGTGTCTGGGCCCCAAACCCACTTCTCCTGTCTCTCCAACTATGACTGCGGTGGATATCAACCTTCTTCAACTTCAGAATGGCCTTTCCCTGGCCAACTGGCACAGCCTGAGTTCTTGGGATTTATTTCTGTTTCAGCCCTAGCTACCTTCTCTGCTGCTTGGGTCTTTTGGTCCCCTTGCTATTCCCAGGAAAACCACTACAGAGTCTTCTGGAGTATGTCCCATGGGAGGGAGGACCCTGATGGGAGTCCAGAAAGACTTGAGCTCTCCTGGGCTGCCCAGCACACAGGGGTGCTCGACAAATTTATGTTGATTGATGTACAAGTGGCCCTGCTTCGTAAATGACTAAGAGGGCCAGGGGTCAGGGGCAGAGGCACTGTCTCTATTTTGTGCTGGAGGACTGGGCCCGAGCCTGAGCTGGACCAGGAATAAGCTAAAGGCTGAGAGGCAACATTCCAAGGGAGCAGTGAGAGGGGCTGGTGGTCATGAATTGAAGCTATGTGTCATTTTTCTTCTCATGAACCTTCAGTGGCTCCCTATTGCCTGTGGAATAACGCCTATGCTTTTTAGCCCGGCATTTGAGAGCCTGCGTTCTGCCCCACTTCTCACCACTGTCCCCATTCACACGCCTAAGCCAGGTTCACCAGAAACCATTGTTTACCATTCCCTCCTTCCCGACTCTGGGCGCAGTTCCTTCTCCGGATCATTGATTTGCTATTCTTGCACTATGAAATGTCCCTCCCTCTTTTCTCTGACTAATAAAACCCCACTCTTTCTTCCGGATTTGCTGAAATGCTACCCTCTCTGTGAAGCCTTTCCTGACACCCCAGTCAGAAGGAATCCCTCCTTCCTCTGTACTTATCACAATAGATAGTCATAATATATTGAAAAGTAATGATTCCAGCAAACTCCTACCTACATCCTCAGAGAGGAAAGGTTTGAACGGAGTTGGAATGTCTGGTCTTTTATGTAATATTTAGAACAAACACTTTGCATTCTTACAGGATTTTTTCATTTTTTTTGGTAACACCTTTATTGAGATATAATTCACATACCATATGTACCTTTTAAAAGCATGATATTTTAATTAGGCACCTCTGTATGCTTGAAAAAAGGCATAAAAACTCTATTTCCCCCGTTTAACAGACAAGCAAACAGATCCAGGCGGAGGGACTTGCTGGACGCCACCCTGTAAGCTAATTACAGAGCTAGCCGAGGGCGAGCTGTTTAAATCTTCTGAGCCTCATTTTCCTTGCTTGTCAAATGCAGGTCCCTGCCTCCTTCATCTCAGTATATTGAGGCTCCAGGGGAAGAAGGAAAATGAAAGTATTTAAGAAAGTGGAGTGGGTAGGAGAAAGTGTCATGTAGGGGGAGGAATGCTCTTTAGGCTGGCAAGGTCACTCTTACAGTTTTCTATTAAATTCTTGACCCTTTTGTCCTCAGGCTATGTTTTCTACTAATCGTGGGACTGTTGGAGGCTTCTTCCTGGCAGGCCGAAGTATGGTGTGGTGGCCGGTAAGTTTTCTCTGAAATACTATTTGATTAACTATGATATTCTCTTTCGGAACCCATTTTCTTCTTGGCTTTGGGTGGTGGTAATTCTTCCTGTCCACCTAGGTCCTTGACAATGAGTCTCATGCTCACCGGGTCTCTTGGGCACCCTTAATCTCTTATGGTCAGGGAAGAGCCTTTAAATAAATAATGCTTGGATTCCTTGAAGGGATAAATAGAAGAAAAGACTGCACAAGGTGGGCAGTGTGGAGAAACAAAAAGAGCACACAGATCGAGGTAAGCTTGAGCCAATCTGAGCTTCCATTTCTGTATCTATGAAATAGTGATGATAATATTTACCTTCCAGGAGTGTTATGAAAAGTGGTGACCTCTTATGGGGTGGAAACTCAATAAATAGTAGCTCTTTTGCTACTTTTTCCTACTTTAAGTCCCATAGAAGACAGATTTTTATCCGTCCTACCTCCAGAGCCTAATACAGTGCCTGACATATGGGAGGCCCTCAATAAATGCTGAATGGATAGAGGGGGAGCCCCCTACTGTTTCCTCTTCTCTCGGTGGATTTTGTATTTTGTGTATTTAAGAGGCGTTTTCCCTGATGCTTGCACATGGGTGGAACAGTTCCAATAAAAGGACATCATGTATGTGTGTGGGTGGAGGAGAAACCAGGAGGTGCCTTTCATCATCTCAGCCCAGGGTTCTTGCTGGTTTATCAATTCAGCTCAATGACCATTTTGATCCAGGGTTCTCACTTAAGTGACTGGTTGAACAAATTGGCCAAATCGTGCAATTCTTTGGTCTTAAGATATGAGTAGTTTTGGCTGGAGAAAGAGGAGAGTAATGATGAGTACATACAATGAGAAGGGAGTGGCAGCTGTGAGTTGGCTGCAGGAAGAGAAACAAGAAAGTAAAGACCGTCACTGTCATGCTCTGTACAGCACAGGGAGAACTTACCAGGAAATCGTGCCACGTCTTGCAGTTGGCCTTTGATCAGCTGTTTTGGGTTGGATTTTAATAACTGGCATTGTCACAGTTGCTTAGGTTATCCCTGAAGTCATTTCTATTTTTAAAAAACTTTTTAAATTTTTTGACAACTAAAACTTACATATATTTACAGTGTGCAACATGACGTTTCGATGTATGTATACATTGTGAAATAATTAAATTAATTAACTTATCCATCA